CCGCGGCGACAGCACAATGGCTGCCTGTGGCTCTCGGGGCCCTCGCCGTCCCGTCTGGGGCCCGGCACCAGCGAAAGTCACCACAGTCACAGGGCCCAATAGCATGTGTGTGTGTGTGTATGTGTGTGAAACATGCTGAATGTCATCACAGGCCTAGTACTGTGGGAACCGCCATGAAAGGGACCCCACTCGGAAGCCACAAAAGTTCCTTTCTGCTTCTTCTCTTCGGCTTTTAGCCTCTTTATTTATCTGTGCGTAGGGGAGCCGGATGAGGAGGGAGGACTCACTCTTTCTCTTTCGCTGTTCTCTCTCTATGTCTCTCGCTCTCTGACAGGCAGCATGACCCATCACTGCAGCCCTCCTGCCCTCTTGACACCTCAAATCACAGCAGCCACTATCTCAAACACACATATACTGACTGTGTCTAACCCTGTTTCTCTGGAGGTTTATTCACACCCATATCAGCTCAATCAGGTCATTAAAACACAATGCAACTCTTTGGAAGTACCCTATAGGAACAAACCTGCCGTTTCCCAGACATGCCTCATATATCCAAGTTATTCTGAGGGAATCGCGGAGACGGACAGACAGGCAGTGCCACAGGTCCCAGGCATTCCTTATGTGTCTGAAGGGCAGATAATTCCCTCATGAGCCCAGCCTGGACAGTGCCAAGCTGCTCCGGTGCCAGTTCCCATGCCAATCCAATCTTGACCCCAGTGACTGAGCACCCAACCACAGGCTGACTACTATAAAGGCTTCATACCAATAAAAAATCAATAGATTTTTTTGGTGTATGTCAGTAGCACTTGCATACAGCAGGGCACCATGCAGGGCTCCTTTGACCACAATTGGCCTTTCATTTATTCTCTGCAAGGGCCCCAGACAGTGAACAAACATTGGATTTTGCCTAATGCTATTTGATTACATCTGAGGAGTTATTTGTGGGTACCATATCATTCACAAGATATATTTACAAACATCTCTTCATAATTTTTGAGGATGTAAATAAGTGAAACTTAAGCACTTACACTTTATAACCATGGCTATAAAGTGCTTCACAGTTACAAAAACAAAAAAATGATAAAAAGCATTTGTATGAATGTTTAAATATGAGACAAGCAAGAATGGTTAAAGAAGGCTTTTCTCCCTCATGTCATAAAATGTTGTCATCTATGTATTTCCTCTTGCATTATCATAACTGTGCTTGTGATTTCAACGGTTTGGTCCGCGTTAAAGAAAGATTTTCTCTTTTTCTTATGAATTAACATAGAAATTCTAATATATTGGTTCTTCAGTTACATATCGCCGCTGCAGTGAAAACCACATGTCTCCATTTAAGTTTTCCAATAAAGTGAAAGATTATTTTCTACCTTTTGTGTTGAGAAAAAAAATCCTTTCAAAAATGGATCGTCAATGAGTTTAAAACAAGGCTGTTTCTTATTCCATGAAATGGGGATACATAAGAGGGTCAAACATGCTCTAAATTCAGATTATAAATTATGTGTTTAAGTTTATTTTTACCTTCTATTTAATTGAGTTAATTTAATTGATTATTATTCCATTGTTGATGTTGTTTTTTGCCTTTTTTTCATTGAAAGTATTTTTATCACTGTAAATTACTGAAAATATTACAAATTTGCAGCAAAAACTTTTTTCATATGATAATGCTGATAATATTTTATGTTCTAGAGTCACAAAAAAGCACTGTCAGCTTGTGTTCACATGATATATAAAAGACAATCATTGTATTTACTGACAGACGCCAGTATGTTAATAAAATGACTCTGCTGCTTATATATATATATGACATTGACACCACTACTTTTGCAATTGGGCACTTTTGTGATAAATAAAATGCACTGAAACGTCTTTTGTATCTTTTATTATATTTAATGGTTTACTACAAGTTTACTCTCTTATATTCTTACAAGGTTACATTCTTTGTAAGTGTTTACTGTGTAAACTGGAGTATCTACATTTTATTTAATACAATGTTGCTGGAAGTTGGTTTTCTGTTACTGAAAAACAACAGTACAGATGATAAAAGTCATCCATGTAGTGAGACATATCTGATCAGTTATTCAGTTTGACATGAATGCAGAGGGAAAGTTATAAACAAAATATCCTGCTGAGCTGGTTCCATCTCACAGACTTTCAAACAATAGCAATAGTCATGCATAAGGAACAATAATTGCAGCTGAGTGTTTGTGCCTTATAAATTGTGGGTAAGAACTGTCCACATTCGTGTTAAGGAGTTGAGTGTGTGTGTGAGTGCGTGTGTGCTTGTATGAATTTGTTAATTGCCCGTGTGTGTGTATGTCCCTGAGCATTCACACGTTCATATTTGAGTTGCGCATGTGTGCGTGTGTGCGCAAATTGTAAAAGTATGAGCTTGTTAATTTCAATAAGGGATGTTGCCTTGTTGTGGTTTGGAGGGATGGGAGGGAGAGGACTTGAAGTGGCCGACCAAGATCGCCAGAAATCTCCCAGAATTCCATCCCACCATCCAGTGCCAGCTCTCTCTCGTGTTTCTCTCCGTCGCCATCTCTTCACACACCCCCACCATGAAACCATTTTCATAATTAAGTTATTTATTTATTCATTCATTTTCTTAATTACTTTCCACTTTGTGCATGCTTTCCATGCAACTTGCCTCATCCTGGAACAACTGCGAGGTGTGGCCCGGCCAAAAACGATGAGTGAAACCAGAGTGATTTACTTTTTTTTTTAAGCAAGAAAGACTGGTGATACAGAGAAGAAAGATATTCTTTGAAGAGAAGGGTGGTTGGGTGATAAAAATAACAACAGAGAAGGGACTCAAGCCTGACTTCATAGATGTCTCTTTTCTTTCAGACTCTTTCTTCCCTGTTTTCTGATGCTGAAATTAGATCCAGATCTGAATTAAGGAATGATTGGTAATGAAAGGATATATAGACAGGGGGTTGTTTGGAAGGGGTGCAGGGGGTTTCTCTTTTCTGTCCTGACTCATACTCACCACACCATAATCCCCCCTGGTGATGGTCACACTGATTACTGACACTTGGGCATTATAAACACACGCACATGCACATGTTTTAAGTTAGTTTATTACTTTACACATATGGCATGATAAAATGCAGGCGGGCAAGGTTCAGTAATGCAAGTGAAATAAACAAGGCGGCTGAAAAGCACATCATATTTAAAGAGAAAAGAAAAAGAAACACCTGGAGTAAGAACAATAAATCAAAATACACCTGATATTATATACAAAAAGCTTGTCACAACTTATAGGACCAAAATAAGTACAAAAAAAGACACTTTCTTCAAACAACATACAAAAAAATTCATTGTAGTATGTTTAAACTAACACACCCTTCCAGTCTGCCAGGCAGGAAGAGAAACACTCAGCTGGGCATTGTGTGGAAGGGGGCATGCCACTTGGCCTCGCTCCGTCTTTCACACACACACACTGCTGGGTCAGTCAGGCATCGCTCTTAACAACGGGCGCCTGGGCTTGCGTTTCCATGGCAATCTGTAACAGCAATCTTCCCACGGTGGCAGCGGAACCGATCGTTAAGTGTTGCAAAGAACCGTGTGCGTGCGTGTGTCTGTGTGTGTGTGCAAGAGAGAGCGTTCAGAGAGCGCTATCTTGTCCAGCGAAGAGCCCAGATGTTCAGACACTCACTGGGCTGATTGCTCTCTTGACCCCTCAGTACCTGCCCTCATCTCTGCACACACTGACACACATGCAAGACAGATTTGCCAAAAAGTCACATTTTCATAAACTAATTAATCAGCAGTTGCATGGTTGGTAAATCTGTTTAGGCTATATCTGTATAATCCATGATTAAAATTGTTAGCCAAAAGTAAAGCATAAACAATTGAAATGGTTAGCTAAAAGGAATACTTTAACAGTTAAAAGTCACGTTTTCAAAAACCAATAATAAGTGGTTGAATGGTTAGTAAATCCGTAGGCTATAGACTATATCTGTATAATTATATGATTCCCAAACAAGGGTATTTAATAGTTTAAAGTTTAAATATAATTGATAAACAGTTCAAATGGTTAGCTAAAAGTAGCCCATGCTAAAGCATAAACATTTCAAATATTTAGCTAAAATACTGGATGAAAAGTTTAAATTATTAACTTTAGCTAAAAATAATGACTAAACTTCAAATGGTTAGCGCTAATGTTAGCTAATGTTAAAGGATAAACTGTTGCTAAATGCAATGTATAATGTGATTAAAACCTCTGGCTTCTGCTACTCCAAGTGGTAATATGTATGTAAACTTGAACAATGCAGCCTACACATCGACAATTCAGTTGTATGAATACAGTAATTGTAACAATAATCATAATTAAATAGAGCATAAAAACATAAATTCATAAGAACAGATAAGTGGCACAGCGAATGGTGTTGGTGCCAGTGGTACTTAAGTAATTTGCAATCACATGACTCAGTCTTCACTTCAGTAATTCAGTCATGATGACACTTTTCTGATTTTTCTTCATGTATGATTCATATGTGATTCTTTTCTGATCACTGACAGCTGCCCACAGGTCATGGGTTACCTATCTTTTGTTAATCACTGCAGTAGTGTTTTGTCTCTCTGCTGTTTGGTTGTCTCTCACACTCACTCACAAAAAGTTCAGTAACTCCATTCTCCAAGTCACCTGCATGATTGTGTGAGAGTAAAGCTGTATGCACTGTCACACACTCCTCTGTAAATGATGGAGTGTTTTCACAGTCCATCATTCCCACACTCCTCACCTTTCTCCTTCACTCCCTCCCGCTGCTATTGTTCTACAAAGCAGTATAATTAAAGGAGCAGAAAGTGAAAGAAAGGAAGACAGAAAAAAAGGAAGGAAGGAGAGCAGGATAAGATTGGAGGCTAATTGACTGAGGATGACTGAGCAAAGGGGTGGAAAGATGGGGCCAGCAGAGTAGGGAGGGAGAGAAGGAGGGTGACAAGCTGGGGAAGGCCAGATTAAAGGGAGGGAGGAGGGACAGGGAGAAGAGGCGGGGGAGCCAAAACTGGCAACCCTGCCCCAACTGCCAAAGTCCTATTTTGTCATTGGGTGGCTGTGACAGAGAGAGGGAGCCAAGAGAGAAATAACAGAGAGAGAGAGCGAGAGACTATGATTGGATGCCAGTGATAGAGTAAAAGACTAAAGCAGCTTGTGAATTTTCTTAGTTGCCATGGGCCCTTGGGGGTCGATCAAGTGGTACTGCTGACTCACAGAGCAAAGGACAGAAGACACATGAAGAAACAACAACAAAAAAACACTAGTGACAAGAAGTAACTAAGGACAACTAGGCTTTTATAAGTAACAGCGCAAGAGAAGCAGAGAGTGAGGGGCACACAGGGTGAGCGCCTCGTCCAGACGGTCTTCAGTGTGTTGCCTCCACGCACCAGAGATAACAGGATAACAGAAATCCACCAGTCTATCATCTATCTGTTCATCCATCAAGCCAGCCAGTGAGGAAGAGGCAGAGACATGAAGAGACCTCACGACTACAGCTCCCCAGACTCGGACACAGACGAGTTTATTGACGTGGGACAGGAAGACGGCTATTGGTGAGCATCCGCCAACCACACCTGACGCCGTAACACCCTCCTATCACACTTTAAAGGACAATGACAGCTGCAAATTAGTAACAAAAGACAAATTTGTCAGTGAACTGTCGGGTTTACAGGCATTTTGATGCTGCCACACACAAAATTGCAGACATGTTAAAAGAAAAAGACTTCAGGAAAAGTTTCAGTTTTTAAGTCTCAGGAACTAATGTGGTTTCTAAAGCAATAATGAAAATTTGTGAATCTTACTCTTAAACGTTTTCTGCATTCAGCTCAAATGTTTTTTTTTGTTGTCAAACATATTTAAATAATTTAACATCATAGTAGAAAGTTTTGACAAACCTTCCAAACAACCTGAGCTGTTAGTGTAAAGTTTAATTTCAGGCCTCTAGCAGCAAATCTCCCATATTCAATAAACTATATATATTGATTGCATTCCCCTCTCAATGAAACTGTGTCATGTTTGGTCCTTTTACTTGTTCATGTGAGTTAATGTCGAGGTTGAAAATAGTCATTGTATGCACAACATGCATTACAACAGAACAGGCTAAAAAATGTGTAAGGCCTGTCATGAATGAAGCATGGAGACAGGGGTTGAAGTCATGAGCAGAATTTTCTGACTCAGTATCATTTAAAAATAAATTTATTTAAAATATCTCCAGATCAAATACATTTTCAACGTTCCTGTGGGTCAAGATTCACAATTTATACATCAAATGATTTTGGGTTCACTTATAATTGAAAATTATTGTGATGTAGTAATGTTAAGTTTTTAATCCTCCAGGTCAGGAACTATTTGATGTCGCATTAAACTGAAAAACTGAACTGTCAAATTTACACCAAAACCAGAGAGGGACAAACCCACATCAAATGAGTTTGTAACATTTCGACAGGCGCGCTTTATGTGACCATGAAATTGCAAAATATCAATCAATCGTATTCATAGAGCTAGAAGTTAATCATTCTTTTCAGCTTTATTGTATTATGGTTATAATCTTGCATGCATTAAACACAAATTCATGCAAGTAAACATAGTTAGTTAATTATTCATATGCACAGTTATAAAAGACATACGCTAGAAAATGCAAACTACAAAAGGTATAACTTAATGTAGAAACTGAAACACTTAATTCAAAAGAAAATCATTTAACCTTTAAATACAAATGTACCAAGCAGTATATCATGTAAGACTTATTTCAGTGTTGTGGAAAATGTATAACCAGTGACAACACCGCACATAATTATTACAAGCCATTTTACCGTTTTGCTTTTTAGGTGACTTAGTCAAGTGAATGGTTTTAGGGAAATGTGGATTCAAGGGCATATTCATTAGAGTGTATTTGCAACAGAGCATCTACAGTACACAAAAACACACACACAAAAAAAAGCACAAGCACTGAGCAAGCCAATAACACTAAAGACGGTTTGGATAAATCAAATTGCCATGTGACATGCAAACAGAAGACAGAAGACTTTTCAAGTCAGCCCCATCAAACATAAACCTAAACAAAAACACACAGCTAAATTGGCAGCATTCATGTTAAAATCTAATAGAAACTCAATAAGTCTCTGGTGGGGCAGTTTGAAGGGAATTCCAAGCTGTCAGGCTCTTTCGGGCCTGTAAGATGAGAGTTCACAAACAAACACAATCCACATTGAGTGACTGCACTCGGAGGAGCTCAGATCCCATGCTGCACGTTGGAGCCCCATGCGAGCGAAAGCATCACCCCGAGGCTATATAATCATCTTTCTAAAAGTGCTTTCCCTCAGATGGAAAGGAGAACAGCATGTCATTTCACTGAGACTAATGTCCAGAAACGCATTAAACCAAAAACAATCTCGTCTTCCCTCCTCTCCCAGGAGCTCCTATGCTGTTCAGTGCCCAAAAAACAAATTAGATTGAAGGGAGCTGATGTGCCATCCTGCCTCTGTGTCATATTAAGGAGGATAATAATAACAATATGCAGGAGAATCAAAGTTACCATGTTTCTCTCATGTGCAAATACCACTCACCCCTCCATCTCTCTTTTTCTCTCTCTCTCTCTCTCTCGATCTCCATGGTACAGCCCAGTCACCGGGTCCATGTCTCCTGGCAGCGCCTCACAGATTCTGGCTCGAAAGAAGAGAAGAGGGGTGAGTGGATTAAAGCCTTGGATCATAATCTTTTTAGTCCTGTTGTTTTGGTTGGCCCTGACTGACCCTCTGCTCCTCTCGTTGTGTAGATCATAGAGAAGAGGCGCAGAGACCGGATCAACCATAGCCTGTCAGAGCTCAGGAGACTGGTGCCCAGTGCTTTTGAGAAACAGGTGACTGCTCACAAATCTGGGATCAATTAAAACTATTTCAATGACAGAAGAAATAAACCAGCTTCATAACTGAGTAAAACGTCGCTCATTTCCCCTACAGGGTTCATCTAAGCTGGAGAAAGCAGAGATCCTACAGATGACCGTGGACCACCTCAAACTTCTGCATGCAATGGGAGGAAAAGGTGACACTTGAGTTTTTTGCTTGCCAAAAAAAAAAAATCACTTTCATCCATTTTCTGCGGAATACGGATCCAAAAAGTCTTTGGAATAATGCCGGAAAATATCTAACATGTAAAAGTAGACAAAAATAATTCTTTTTTTGGACCACAGATAAAACACTCAGCATCTACAGTAGGTATATGACTAACTGCATTCCATTACTATTATTCATGTATGAATAACTCTCTTTTTTTTTTCTCTCAGGTTACTTTGATGCAAGGGCCCTGGCAGTTGACTACAGGACACTGGGCTTTAGGGAGTGTGTTGGAGAGGTGGTGCGGTACCTCAGCTCCCTTGACGGGGAGTCCCCGGACCCTGTTGGAGCCCGCCTGGTCTCCCATCTTTCCCACTGTGCAAGTGAGCTAGACCCTCTCCTCTTACAGTCGCTCCCAGCCTCCACCCTGCCCTTTCCTCCTTGGCCGTGGGCGTCCTTCCCTCAGATCTCCCCCACCTCACCAGCCTCTTCCTCACCTCCTTTCCCCAGTGGGCGAAGGGATCTGGCCCTGCTGGGGAGCTACCCGTCTCCCGCCTCGCTCCGCCTTGCCCCCCTGGGCGGCTGCCAGCAGGGCGCACCACAGCTACTTGCGCCTACAGCCCTGGCCACCGTCCACAGGGTGCCCTCCCTCGCAACGTCCGCGGCCCTAGCTCCCTCAAGGCCGACCCAGCCGTCCCCTCACAGCGCCACCAGGGCCTCGCCTCTTCCTCTCCTCACCCCTTCCTCTTCCTCTCCTTCTACCTCCTCCTCTTCTACTTCATCTTCTTCTGCTCCACTGCAAATCTCTTTCAGGCCCTTCGCACCTCTAGGGTCGCCCACAGCCCAGCGCAGGGTCTTGAGCGGATCAGCCAAGTCGGCCCAGGGATGGGGGACTGAGATTGGAGCTTTCTGAGGGTCAGCCGTGGTTTTGTTTTCCAAATGAACTGTGTGCAGTGGACATGGTACTTCCCATGTGCACCATGTAGCAAATATGATACCTTTGGAGAAAGAAGTATTGAACCTTTGATTGTCTCTGCTTTGGAGGGACTCTAAAAGCCATATGAGACTGTGGGTGAAGTGTCAGATAATCACAAACAATCGTATATAGTGGAATAATGAAGGAATGTGAAAGAATAGAGGATTTGAATAAATTCACCTTCATGATCTTGCTTGACAAACACATCCACAGTGTCACAGAGCCATATATATATATATATATATATATAACGCTCAACAGTGACGTTGAGTTTTTACTGATCTTTTAACTGTGATATTCGTTTGTTTTTTTCAAAACATTTATACATTTCATTGCCTTTCTGAAGATGTTTGACAAAAATCTCTATAAAGACTAAGTGCCTTTACCTTTGTTCATGTTTTTCTTCGTGTGTTTTTTCTGACTGTATAAGCAACTGTCAACACGTGCTTGCAGCTATGCATTATCTGCTGCGAGTACAAATGGCAAAGGAATGGCCGAGAGCTACATGTTTGCCACTTACCCGTATTCGCCATGTCTGCAAACACTGCTTGCATGTTCCCCAGCCGTAGCCCCCTCTGCTTCTGAGCTGTCTCCAGTGATGGCTGATGGGAGCTGTGGTCTTGTGGCTGCAGAGGATAAACATGGTGGGAGCTGGTGATGTTTTTGGGATGCCGCGGCGAGGCAAACAGACCCATCACTTTGCCCTCTAATTGGCAGTCCCCTGTAATTAACTTTACCCTCATATCAGTCCATGCATCTTCCTCTCCTCTGCTGTCTCTCTGCCATTCTTTCTCTCCAATCTTGTGGTACACCATCGGATATCTTCTCTCCCTGTTTGTCTGCGCCACTGTCTCCTCAACAATGGACAGACAGTACAGAAGAGGGCGAGAGGGAGGGATGGAGAGACTGAGAGAGGAGAAAACAAAGAAAAAAGATCTGAAGGGCTGTGGTTGGGTGACTGATTTGGCGTAGACGTTCAATAACAGGGTGGGAGGGAGGCAGGAGACAGGGTTACGGGGAGATGAGAGGGATTGTGAAGGTTTAAGAGGACAGGAAGAGAAAAAGTGTGAATCACAGAGAGTCGGCAGCACAAGAAACCCCTGAACAATGATGAATGACAGTTGCAAGGAGTTGTTTCTCAAGAAGATCAGCATAATTGTGCCGTGCTTCACCAAAACGGCTCTGCGGGGATGAGAGAGCAGAGAAGAGCCTTGTGTGTGTTTACTGCTGGAGAACGCTTTGATCTACTTCAGGATGCAATGTCTGTGGCCTGCGGTCCAAAAATGTGTGTGTTCCGCAAAGTGCATATTGTTTATTTGAGTGAGTGTGCGAGTGTGTGCTTAAGCCAGTCTCATGTCCACACTGTTCTGTTTGTGTGTGTGTGTGTGTGTGTGTGTGTGTGTGTGTGTGTGTGCGCGCCTTGCCGAGTGTTTTGTTTATGTGGTGTTGTGCGCACACAAGTCTTGTGTGGGTTTGTGTGTGTGTGTGTGTAATGTGAGTCTTCTGGGCTGGCGTCAGGACTGAACCGCGGTGGCGGCGTGGCTCTCGTGCGAGGCTGGCCGGCGGTCGGACGGACGGACGGACGGTATGGTGGTGGAATGTTTGTGGATGGTGCATGCACACACACACGCACACACAGAAAATACACACACAGGCTGGCACTATTCTAGCCTCTGAGCGGAGGAGCCAGAGTCACCACCACAGCTTCCAGGAAGGACAACCACAGTCGCACTGCACTGGGTTTCCCACGGGGGGAGGGGAGGCTGGAGGGAGAAGAGAGGAAGGAGGGAAGGGAACGATGGAGAAAGAAGGAGGGAAGTGTGTCTGTGTTTGTGTATGTGGGGCAAGGGTGTACAGAATAGACCAATGTTATGGTTTAAGCTGAATAAGGAAAAGAGGAGGGTCCAATATGCAAGGAGGAGGCAGAGGCGGGAGGAAAAAAGTGTCTGAAATCAAGTGAGAGAGATTTCTCCACTGATGTGCCAAAAAAACAAAAAACAAAACAAGTATCAGTGCCGAATTTTTCATTGGATTATATACACATATATACATATTATATATATATTCTTGAGGGAGAATCCAGACACGGTATTGGTAGCTTTAGGAGAAGTAGGCATGGTGATGACACACAGTTGTTCACGATGGATAAGCCATGTGGTTCGAAAAAGATACCATTTGGAAACTGAAAGCTCCTATAACAGAATCATAAAGCATGTCTGACATACCTGTTAGCAGATTGAGAGAAACTCTTGTGTGACACAGGTGTAGAACTGGCAGATGGGATCGTCAGTCCAGGTCCTTTGGCACATCGTGAAGGTCTGAACCCTAGAGAACTACAACTTCATGAATCTTCTTAGTCTAGTCTGTTAGCAGAGAGGAAGGGTACTGTACAAACTACAGAAATACAACAGAAACAGTTAACTGAGAGAATAGAAACAGATACACATTCATATTTATTGATTATTTTAATTATTTTTATAATAATAATAATTTTAATTATTATTTTTTAAGCTTCCTTATGATGTTTTTGACGGTTTATTGCATTAAAATATAGCTTTTTTTTTACCAGGCGAGGATGAAAATATCATATTCTTTATTGCATCTCCATGTAGTCTGTAATGGTAAAATAATTATATTAATTTACAATGGATTTATATTCCTTTGCTTCTGACCTTTCAAAGGAGACCAGAATTATGCATCTAGGCCAAATGGTTGAGGAGTTACTCCTGATTAATTTTGGGTATGTTATTTTGGGCGTTTTTCCTGGAAAAAGGTGTCTAAGAAAGAAAGAGCTCGCCTGGCTCAAGTACAAAATGATGAATAGACAGTCTCTGGTCAACAAGAAATACTTACAGTTCACTATTCCACCTAAAACCAAAACTCTGTGTTTTGATAAAAGAGACAAGACATGACATGTTGATTAGCTGCAGATGTACTGGGCATATTTGCTAATAGTGTTTTTGCATGTTAAGCTGCATAAATTGCCTGCTGGTTCTAGCTCTATTCTTAAGGCATGAGAGTGGCTTTGATGCTCTCATCAAACTCTCTGCAAGAATCATTCCTAAAATGTGAAATAGCTGTAACACAAAGTAGCATTTTGTAAGTCAAACTAAGGCATAATATATTATGAATTCTGAATACTTAGTCTTTATTCATTATTTTGGGCAAACAAACACAGCAAACGGTCCAGCAGTATGAAAGACGCAAGGCAAAATTTTGCTTCACTTGTTGTCACTGTTTGAACATGCCTCAGACCCCTCTTCTTTCAAACCCCACACTTTCAGTTTGTAAAGCAGGCCTCAAGTCTCTTTGCTTTCTTTTGGCTTTCTTTTTGGAAAGTTTGAAAAGCTCCTCTAACTGTTTTACCAAGTCCTGTAGTGCTAACACTGACCCCTTTCATTTGAGGCAGGACATCTGGTCATCACATTTGCAGAAAATTTTGGAAGACCTAAAAAAAATACATTTGATTAAAACAACAGGAAGGCTTTTGTGTTTACATTTAAATTTGACATATTTAATTGTTTTAATGAAATTTTTCTGACAAAATTAATCCACTGATTGGAGAAATTTTATATCTGTTCCTGAGAAATCCAAGGTCTGGAAGCTCTGAACTACATTCTAAAGAAATCGAGAAGGAAACACATGCAGTAGTGAAATAGATACTTGTTTAGTCTTAGGCATCCCTAAACAGCATGTAAAATACCTTATAGCATATTTCTGTATGATTTATGTCTAAGGATAGAGGTGTTGAATGTTGTACGCTACTGATAACTAAACCCTGTAAGACAAATATAGGTTTTTGGGTTATACACATAAAATCGACTTGAGTTGATGTGCATAACCTTGACTAATGGAGACCATATAGATGTAGCGCAAACCCACTAAAATGAAAGTTTTCAGTTTTGAAGCCAGTAAAGATTCTCCAAGCACAGCAGCAGTCAAAGAGGTATTTCTGCAACTGCATGTTGACCAGAGGGCTGTTTTTTCAGTCCACACAGTTGTACTTATTTACTCCTAAACCACACAGTTGTACTTCTATCTGTATGACTGACTGTTGACTCATTTACTCCTAAGCTCTTTACAACTTTGTAGGGAAAAATCACAAAGACACAACTTTCATACGATCAGTAAATATGGGTTTTAGGCTCATAGGCTTACAGATTTTTTTATATGGTTAACATACATCGGTCAAGACTGAAGCCATTTTTCAAAACTCTTGAAATAGTCTGCATTACCAACCTGCATCTCAGACAGACAGTTAATCTCACCTCCTAAAGTCACTCAAACCAACAAAACACGTCTCAGAATAAGTTCGTTCAACCAAAACACAGGCAACAATTGTCACTCAGAAAACATTCATCATCACTCATAACACACTGACCTACAAAACACTAACAACAGGGAACATTACATAAATGATGAACTTGTGTGACAGATTTTTTCATACATATTATTATTTCATTATAGAATACAGTTGTTCTCAGTCACTTTGGTACAATTTTCAGATCAGAATTAAAATTCTCAAAACTACTTGCTCAAACTCCACATCATCTAGTCACTTGTACACATCATAAAAGCAATTTCTCATTCATTTAAATGCTTTGAAACATTCGTGCAAATGCTCATGTACAATTGTCTGCTGTTTCCTACATTATCAATTTCTTATGTCAAGTTGATCTAAATGTATCATACTTCTCTAATGAATAGTCTTACCCCTCAAAACATCCACGAGTAAGTTTGTTGCATAAGTCACTACATGCAGAATGATTGAACACGTCATAATCTGTCAAGCATATTTTCTGCACATGCTATCAGATTTTTGTTGTAGATGTGTCCTAAATTGGTGAAGATATCCATTGTGATGTGGACAGGAATCTGTTGCCCAATACACCTACATATAGCCTACAGTTTTTTTCAGTTGCTAAGATGCAATGGTCAAAACTGAAGTCACTTTTTTTAAACTCTTCACACAGTCTGCATTACCAACATGAATCTTGGCCAAACAGTTAATCTCACCTCCAAAAGTCACTCAAACCACCAAAACACTTCATACAAGTTTCAAAATAAACTCGTTCAACCAAAACACTGGCAAAAGCATACACTGTCACTCATAACACACTGACCTATAAAACACTAATAACAAGAAGCCTATAAGGTAAATTTGATGAACTTTATCTTCAAAGTGTGACAGATTTTTTTATTATGTACAATTGTCTGCTGTTTCCCACATTTTCAATTGCTTACTGTATGTCATGTTGATCACAACAGATTATACTGGTTCTCTGTTACTGTAAATGGTCTTATCCCCCAAAACATGCATTAGTAGCCATAAGTTCACTGCATAAGTAACTACATATAAAAAGTGGTTGAACACGTCATAATCTGCATTTCTTCTCCATATGTCTATAAACCTTTTTTTGTAAATGTGTTCTACAGTAAATTGATGGAGATATCTGTTGTGATGAGAATAAGAATCTGTGGTCCAGTAGACAGGAACGTCAACCTGAGGGAGTGTTTCCATGATTCCATTTCTTATTTTGTAATTGTTGCTGTTGTGCTACGCAGTGCTGTTAAATACTCTTGTTATTTTATTTTTTGCATCACAATGACATGATCTGTCAACAAATTACAGTGTATACAGTAAAAGCATAATTGTGAATCCTGTCCAATCTCTTGCAATGTTCAGCTCTGTACTGTTGAAATTGATCTATGCCATACAGAAAAAGTGTAGCCTTGTGCAGTTTTAATCATTGTCAATCAAACCTTAGCCATAGTTTACCAATACAAACAGTTTTGCAAATGTTTAGAATGATTCTAGAAATGTACCAAAGCAACTGAGAAAAAACACAAGAATTCAGTTTTTCTCAATTGCTTAAACACTATAACCAGGCTATTGAACTAAAACTCCATTTTTCAAAAAGCACACCAGTTTCTCTAAACTCTACGCACAAATCCCTTCATTTCTCATTGCCTACATCATGTGGTCATTGAGAAAACACTAACATTCAATATTGTCCACTCAAGTCAGGGTGAGCTCAATTAGCACACAGCTACCCAGGTGGAAACACAAACAGTCAAAATTGATAACACACCAATCAGAACCTTCAGTACATAGGTAAAAGGGCCAGAGTCAGTTCATTCAGTTTTGGAATTTATCTCACCGGTGTGTTAAACTGTGTTGAAGTGTGTGTGTTTTTGAGGGCTTGTG